TGGGTGGGTGGGTGTGGGTGTATTAGTGGTGACAGTGTAGCCATACTATTAACATAAGAAAAAAAGGAAAGCATTGTCTTTTCAGGTCTATACAAAAATTCTTTTGAGCTTCCTTATGCAGAAAAGGTCCACAATTCTTGATATCCTAGATGAGTCTAAATATTGGAGATATAACCAAGAAAAATATATGCATTGTGGGTAAGCAGTGAGCAACAATCCTCTCTGATTCCATCCTGAGGTTTTCTGTCTTTGCTTGTGATAACACTTCCTAGAGCCGCAGTGCCACTGTGGCTAGAGTGCAATACTGCAGGCTACTTCTGCTGCTCACCAGCTGTCAGCAGTTTGGCAGATCTAATCTCACCAGGTTCAAGGTTAACTCAGCCTTCCATCCTTCTGAGGTGGGTAAAATGAGGACCCAAGTTGTTGGGGGCAATACGCTGACTCTGTAAACTGCTCAGAGTAGGCTGTAAAGCACTATGAAGTGGTATATAAATCTAAGTGCTATTGCTATGGTAAGTTTTGCAACATCTCCCTCTGNAACCCAGGGGTGTTCAAACTTGATAGCTTTAAGACTTGTGGACTTCAACTCCCAGAATTCCTTCTCTCGCTCTTCATCTTGATGATGGGCGGAGGGAGGGAGCTGGAACTGGTTCTAAACGGCATTGAAGATTTGTGGAACCTCTTCTATAGAAGAGGTTAGAACTGGCAGGACCTCACCCCTGGCAATGCTCCACACTTAGTCAAGCCTCTGAGCAATGAAAATACAATAGATACAATCAGGCTTTGCAACCACATAAAACCAAAGTGAATGTCAGTAATACAAGGAAAACAGCAGGCAGTGTTTTTGAAAGAGAAATGGAAAAGGCCACAGCAGAAACGTGTATTTTTGTAAGACTCTCTCTCTCTCAGATTATCATATATACACATATATAAACACACATACACACCCCTTCCAAAATAGTGGTTTCCTGCTCTCAGATAAGGCCTAAAGGCACAACTGTAATTCATATCCTAATAACAGGTTACATTGAAATTGTCTTAACTTTTAACTCCAAAGCTAGTGGCAACTTGTACTGAACTTCAAATGCGATCATTCAATTTGCATCAGAAAGGCATTTTTAAAGTGGGGGGACAAAGAAATACAGTGAAATATATCTGTCTGTCTGTCTGTCATCTGTTGTCGGTCTCTCCGTCCACCCATTCTTTTTAAGAGGTAAACACAACATCATAGTTAGGCCTTTATCAAAGTTTTTTTTTAAGAAACAGCCTCACCCAAACTGTGGTTTTCCTGAAGAATGACCCAAAACTGTGAATTTACTATATACACCCACAGGAACACTATTCTGACCTAAATTCAGCATAGAGTAATTTCTCAATGTGCAGCCATAAAGTCCAAGATAATCCACTTTTGCACCAACTCTGTTAGCATGCCAATTTGCACGAACCTCTTGTAAATGTAGTTATAATGGATGTTTCCTGAGCTGCACGTAGTTAATTGCACATGTTTATTTGTAAATGGATTACTTTGTAATTAAGATGCAATATATCTCAAAGAAGGTAGACAGTTGGGTTTAATCATGGCTAAAAGGAATCACAAGTTTTGTGAATAAATTTAATGTTTTCCCTGAAAAGCTTATTGAAAGGAAAAGATGACCAATGAAACTGCAGAATACTTCCAAGATGCACCACAAGTATTTTATTTAATACTTAAATGTTGGCCTGAAGATTAGATCTGAGAGTTACATCAATGTCCCCCCCCCCCNTGCAACACAGCTGATCATCAGAAATACCGATTCGCCCAAACCGGTAGCATTTTTTCTACTACCAGTTTGGGCAAACCGGTAGCTTTCTTTCAGGTGAACTGGTAGCATTTTACCCCTGGATTTAACTACATGCTTAAACATGTGTTAAGTATATTAAAAAAGGATGGAACTTAAAAGACCTTAAAAGTCATATTTCTTGGGTGCCATTTCAACAAACATGTTTGATAGTCATATTTATATTCTGCATGCTTTGGCTATAAACCAGCAGCTCATTATAGATGAAAAGTGTATTTCTCAAGAATATTGTGTAAGGCTTCAGAGCCAACCACAGTAGAAGACAGGAAATATGGAATGTTGATTCATGATGACATTAACATTTTCTGTGTCTTAAAAGGAAAACTTTGATAAGATTTAACTGCAAGACTCGGGGGCAACTGTGAAATTTTCCTCATCTGTTTTTCAAAAAGTAATACACTCCAATCTTCAAGCCATTTGTTGTTGCTTTTTCAAAACACTATGTCTGAAATCAATGGACCAGTGTGTGACTGTGTGTGTATAATTATAATGCTGATTACACAATAAGAAATTAGTGTCTCAAAATGAGTTTAGCAGCTGGAGGTAGAAAATATTTAAGCAGTATAAAAGTCAGTGCAAAGTCCAGTTGACTAAATTGTGCTTTCCTGGCAAAACAAACAAAAATATAATGCAATGCATTCTGGATTTGCCATCCTGGCTTGAAAGGTGAAGCACTATTATTATATACATATTCAAACAACAATACACTCAGTAAAATTAAAAGACTATAATAACAAACTTCAGAAAACATGCTTCTGACAAAAATAGACATTTTCCAAAATGCAAATCCTATAATACAATCAAACCCACCTTCAAGAGAAGGTCACAAAAAATGAATGATGGAAGAAATAAGCTATGATCCACTGGGGTAAAAATATCTAACCCGTTTCTTTTGCATTGGGACTTTCAGTAGTAAAATCAGTATGCAGAAATCCTATACAGATTCCTTCTTTGGGTCTAGAACAGAGGTAGGTTCCTATCGGTTCAGACCGGTTTGGCCAAGTTGGTAGTAACTTGGCCTGCAAGGCCCCCGAAGCGGTTCTATCGTTGGTGCTGCCATCTTGTTTTTTGACTCTGTGCATGCACAGAACAATCTTCATTTCAAAAATGTATTTTNAAAAGCTTATTGAAAGGAAAAGATGACCAATGAAACTGCAGAATACTTCCAAGATGCACCACAAGTATTTTATTTAATACTTAAATGTTGGCCTGAAGATTAGATCTGAGAGTTACATCAATGTCCCCCCCCCCCAAACATCATTCTTATTCTAATTTTTGAAATACTCTCAACTTTGTAATATATTCAGTTTCTACAGTCATTCATTTTTAAAAACAAACGCAAAGAAGATAAAAACCAATTCGCAATGAAAAACAACTTTAAAAAATTATTTTTAAATAAATAATATTTAAATTAAATGAAGCAATCCAAATTCCCATACATGTAAGCTATATGTCTCCTACCCTTTCTTTAAAGCAACTGGGTTGGCAAAATGATCGTTATTATTCTCCTCTACAAAATAAAGACAAAACTGAGATATAGCAAAACTTACATTATGCTGAGTGACAATTTGAATCTGGGTCTTTCTTATATGTCTAATACAAGACACTAAACCAGCAATGCCACTTTCCACAATTCTTTGCAACTGACCAATCTGGCCGAGTCTGAAGAAGAACAGAATCTATAATGTTTCAAGGCTCACGGGTTGCCTGTCATTAGTCTACATATTATTTATTCATTTATTAGAATTAAATCCTGCCTTTTTTCTCTGGGAGTCCTCTCTTCATTTTATACATACAAGAGTGAAGGAGAGTAAGCTGAGAGACAGTGAAGTCAATGAGCTGTCAATACATGTTGGCTGCCAAGCAACTAAATCGTGATCGAACTGGAGGGATGGTATGAAGGTCACAACTTCAAGGACCCCCATAAATCTCCTTTTATGGCAATGTCATAACTCTGGTTGCTGAACGAATGATTACTAATGAGGACAATTTGTATATCAACCAATTTCATTGTATTTAAGTACAGTGACAATAAAGATTATACTTATACTTATATCAAGCTGCATTGGGATTCTCCCAAACCTTGTGACATTTCTCACAAGTAATAGATGGTGTTTGGCTAAAAAAAACCTCCTCACTTCTAGGGCTTGGGGGGGGGGCGGCGGCACATAGTTGTTGTGGTTACCAGTAAATCAGCTATCCTCTAAACCTCTTTCTGAACTGGGCAGGTTTTTTTAATGAGTATTTTTTATTTTTACACGCTGTTTTGTTTTATTAAGCACCACTAACAGTTTTGCAATTTTATTATTGACATTAAAGAATTGAGCAAACTATATTTCTACAGACATCCTTTCCTTTCAATTCATGCCTTTGATAACATTTACCCATAGAGTTCTCTCCCCCTCTTTTTTTTGAATTGTAGGATAAAAGGGCACTAGTTATGATCCAAAACATTGAGTTCATTTTAAAAAGAGACAGGATTTTTCACTGACCTATATTTTAAAAGTCAGTATTTTAAAAAGAATATTTATTGGTGGAAGGAAAAAAAGTCATGTTGAGTTAAAAAAGGTATTCAATTTTTGGACTCCAGCCCATATCACAAATATTACTTTTTTTTTTTGTTATCTTTCCGCTGTAAGTGGTTTTACTGCATTCTTTTGTCAGAAGCATTTCAATAAAAAATATCCAGTCCAAAAAGGAAAAAAGAAGAGCATGATCTAACAAGTAACGCATCTTTTTAAAAAAAGAAATCCCCTCTTGAATAATAGATGAAACCCATTCAGTTCCCTAAAGGAAGTCATTCTTTCTTTGCAACCGTGTTTTGCTGACTAAGTATTATTTTTCAAATATTATCCAACACTCAAACATTGTGAAAAAGAGTAAACTAATCCAAGGTCTGTGGCCACTTTGTATTGTCACTTGCTAATACTTGTGTAGCATTTAGGTTAATGAACAAACTAATAAGCTGCTTTCCAAAAGCCCTTTTCTCTTAACTCCACCCAAAATTATCTGCTTCGTGACTATTTCCGATCATGCATGTCTTGCAAGTAACGTTCTCACAATCCACCGACATGTAAGTGATTATTTTTGCTAAAACAATTGCAGAAATAAACCATGTTCTGAGCTCTTGTTAACCATTAATACGTTTTGCCTACCACTCACCTTAGCTTCTGCTCAGGTAACTCCTGAAGACCCAGACTATCTGGGCGATCCCGTCTTCTCCTGTATAGACCTGAATGAGATAATTCTTTCAGCTGCAACGTAGTCATTCTGCTCTACCCTCTTCTCCCCCCAGAAGAGTTCCTGTTGAATGGCAGCCCAGCTGCCAAGATGCTTGGAAAAAGTACGTGAAGCAGTGCGTCTACACACCTGCACTAGAATTCACTCTACACAGGCAGTTACTGAGCTGCTTCCTGTTTCTCATAAGTACACACCCTCTAGAAGAACACTGCGTTTCCTTTTAACAGCAAGCCTCATATCTAAGGGATGCTCGTAGGGGTAAGCGGAGGGCAACTGATTTGAACCTAGAACAAATGCAAATCAGGCCATTTAACTGTGTTAAAAGGCTGCTGAAACCAGCGAAGCTAGCAGCAGCAAAACCTCTTAAATTCTATTTCTGTCTCTCACAATCAGACAAAAGTTTCAGCCAACTAAACTGTCCCCCTACCTTGAATAAGTAGAAAAAGAAACATGGGAGTACTTTATTAATCTAGGGAAGTTTTAGTATGTATTTATCTGATCCATCAAAATGGAACCCTAGTGTAATTAAGTCTAGAATGAATTAATCTGATCAGCTAAAACAGAAGCAAAGGGTAATGAAAGGGAATGAATGGATGAAAATGTTCTTTACTTTTTTCTTCAACATTCCTTCAAAATGCAAAATAACAACAAAAAATGAAGCCAAATTGAGAGGTGGATAGAGCAGTGTTTTTCAACCACTGTGCCGCGGCACACTAGTGTGCCGTGACATAGTGTAAGGTGTGCCGTGGGAAAAATACTTTATATATAGTCAATATAGGCACAGAGTTAAATTTTTTTAACATTTTCTAATGGTGGTGTGCCTCGTGATTTTTTTCATGAAAAAAGTGTGCCTTTGCACAAAAAAGGTTGAAAAACACTGGGATAGAGGACAACTTTGTCAGTATTCTGGTTCTGCGTAGCAGCATCAAAAGCTAACCACAAGAGACTATAGAAACTAGAAAGAAATAAAAGGATTTCCTGCTAAAGAAATTGATAGAGATTTCCAAGTCATTTAACACTGAAAGAAAGAACCAGCTCTTCTAATTTTCAATAAGATACACATTGACTAAAACTGAGTCCAAAATTTAAAAGCAGCAGTGCACGACTATCAAAATGCAGAAGCAAAATTATTTCCAACACCCATATTATAAGATAATGGATTGTCCTTAAGGTGCCACAGGATGGAATGTTGTTATTTTTTTAAAAAACAATTTATACAACTTAGGTTTTTGCTCAAAATCAATCAAGAGATTTTGGGGAACTATTCAGTGACATAAGAGCATATGAGCAGCTCTGGTGGGACAAATCAAAGACCCGTTTAATCCTGTATCTAGTTTCATTAAGTGCCCAGTTGTCTTTAGGAGGCCTCAAAAACAACATGAAGGCTTTGAGTCTCCCACCTCCACCCCCTTTTTTGCACAATGGATATTTCCCAAGTAAACTCCTGATGAACATCTAACTTCTATCCAGATTTTAATGGCCATGAACAGATGTATCCTAAATAAAAGTACCTTATTCTTTTTAAAAAATCATTAAAAAAAGAAAACGCCATGAGAAAATCCATTAATATATTTTATAGCAACAAATATCCACATGTTGCCTAAACATGAACGGCTCTGAAATCACAAAGGTTAGATTTTATCATTTTTTCTGTTCCCTGGATGAAAAAAAACCTTACTTAAACACTAAACATTGAATTTACCCACATATGAGTAAGTCCAGTGACATCTAGTGGTTAAATTCCATAATGATACCACCATAAAAGATACTTTGCTTTTCTTGTATCAGAACAGTTACATCTTTTTATTTCAAATTCATTTTTGAAACTGGTAACTCAATGAGTTACTATGTACAGAACTCAAGAGAAATGTCATATAGCACCTTTACTTCAGAAACAGAGAATACTTAGCCCATACTCTTTATGATGTTATAATTTTAAAAGCGCAAATTACCGTGTCTCCCCCCCCNTTTTTTCTTTTCTTATAGTAAATACCCTGTATATAAATGATTGCAAATGGAATGTGAAAATTGAATAAAATATATTTAAAAAAAAAAAAAAGACATGTGGATTTCAACTCTCAGAATTCCCCAGTCAGCCATGCCAGGAGTTGAAAATTCACAGGTCTTAAAGGGGCCAAGGTTAGACACCTCTGTCTTAAATTGGGGACTTCAAAAATGATATTATTTCTTTCTGAAAATTTGTTGAATGAACAGATGAACTGTTTCAGAAAAGCAGTGGAAATCATGATGGAATGAAATGGCTCAGTAAAATAAACTGCCATAAGAAAGGTTCCAGACTCCTGACATATGGTTATGTCATTACTGTATAAAGTCCACAAAACTGTTTCCCACGGCACCTGCAGATTATCTGCAACAACATAAACCAAAGGTTCATTAAACTGTCTAGAGCAATGAGAACCAATAGCCTTCCTCAAATGTTGTGTCTCATAATTCAGGCTTTGCTGCTACAGATTCTACAGAACAAAATGACTGCAGCGCTCACTTTGAACTCCCTACAGATTACGTTACTGTTATATTTACCTAAATCAAATTGGACTTCTTTGTAATTATTATATATTATGATTTTAAAATGTTTTCAAGATTATTTTTCAGGAAAGTAGAAATATGGAACTTTTTTTTTTAAAGGCTTTCATATAAACTTTGTATAACCTGCTGTCAATGTTGTTCAGGGAACATAAGCTTACATGGAATTGTGTAGGTGAAAGACATGTGTCTTAAGTTCTTTTGTCTGAAGGCAAGGACTGGAATTGTAAAAATATCCAGGGTTTAAAATTTGAAATATCTCAAGCTAAAAATGCAACTCAATTCATGGGAAGATTTAAACAGGTTCGCTAACAGTTTGCAAATGTGAGTGCATGCGCCACCTCCTCACATGTGCAGGACCTTTCATGCATGTGCAGAGCATAAAAAACAGATGTGAGGACATCCAGGCGGGTGGGCAGAGCCTGCTACCAAACATGCTTGCGAAGGTAAGTAGAACAGCGAGAGGGGGGGGGGGNAAATTCTTTCCTTTTCCTCATGACTGGTGAGGCTACGCCTCCCCTGCATCTAGTGACTGCATGTCCCTTGTTATTACGTTTCATGGCAACATGAGCCATACAAAACTGTATATATATTACACAGTTCAATGCTTCAACCCACACTCTCTTTAGGTTCCTTTTTATTTTCACTGGTCTATAACATTTGATTTCCTATGATTCTCAATTAATGTTCATTTCATATGTATCAAGTTAGTTTTAACTCTAACCCTAAAGCTTTCTTGTAGTTCTAGAATCTACTTTATACAGAGGATTGATTGATTGATTGGTTTATGTGTTGTCAAGTCAGTGTCAGCTCTTAGCAACCACCTATTAAATTCCAAGCATTTAACTTCATTAAAGTCACCAAACCTCAAACACAATGAAATTGGAAAATTTACATTCATAAAAGTTTGCAGCATTGATCAACTTGCAAACATTATTGAATAAATAAGTAAGTTTGGGGACTTAGTATCTTTCTGGAAGGCACTAGTCAGAGAAAGCTATAAAAACTGTCAGAATTAGAAGCCTTTCTTGTGGAAAAAAAGGATTCATGTGGCCATCTGTAAAAATATATTAAAACAAAAAGCAGAGAAAAAAATATTTTCAGCAACATAGAAATAATGGGTCAGTTGGTTTACGTGACCAAGAAGGACTAGACCTGATAGCAGTGTTCCAATTCCTAAGAGGCAGCCACAAAGTTCCAATTCCAAAGGCAGGCTGAAAGGAGGACAAGAAGCAATGGATGAAAACTAATCAAGGAGAGAACCAAGGTAAAAATAAATAGAATTTTCCTGACAGTTAGAACAATTAATCAGTGGAACAGCTTGCCTCCAGAAGTTGTGAATGCTCCAATACTGGAAGTTTTTAAGAAGATGTTGGATAGCCATTTGTCTGAAGTGGCATAGTGTGTCCTGCCTAAGCAGGAGGTTGGATTAGAAGACCTCCAAGGTCCCTTCCAAATCTGTTATTCTATCAGTTGAATTTTTTTCTTTACAATGAGTAAAGAACAGAATATTTATCCCTGTAATCGCCAGAAGGAAAGACATAAATAATTAAAAACTATGATCGTGCTACTCTTAAAATTTATTCACTTTTCTTGAATTGCTATTGCCTTAAAACAAGGAGGAAATTATAGACTACTTCAGGCTACACATGATTATCAAGATACTTCTTTTAAAATATTACATGCAAATGTAACCATAATGATCTGTCTACAAGGTTGCTTCAGATATCACAGAAAAGCTAAAATAAAATTACACATAATCCTTGATTTATGACCACTGAAAGTTACAACAATGCTGAAAAAAGTGACCAGTCCTCAAAATTAGAACCATCACAGCATCCCTGCAGTGACAAGATAAAAAAATTAGGCACTTGGCAACCAATAGGTATTTCTGGCAGTCCTGGGTTAACATGATCATCATTTGCAATCTTCCCAGGGGGCAGGCAAAGTCAACTGGGAACAAGCATGGTGACTCACTTAACGACCACAATAAAAGTTCATAAAATTGGGCACAACTCACTTAACAACCACATCCATAGCGACAGAAGTTCCAGGTTGAGGACTATCTGTAATGTAATGTGACTCTGCCAAGTAACAAGATATTAAACTTTTCCTTTGCTTGGAATAGCTTTGAAATGAGCTTCCATTCTAAAACTAGCCAGATAACCAGACAGCTCTGCTTTCCCATAAGAGTAAAAGTGGCTAGCCCAGAACTACTTTAGACTAACTTCACTCTTCCTGTGGGAATCAGAAGTACTGTAGAGTAGGTGCAATAAGGAATCCGGTCCATAATACTATTTCCTGCTTGTCAGAGAATCCCTGAGTTGGAAGACAGGGGACCATTGAGTACAATCCATTTCTTAGTTCAGTAATCCAAGTTAAAACCATCGTAACAGATTATCTAGCTTCCAGTTGAGCACATCATACAAAGAATACCCTGTTACAGATCTTCAGGAGGAGGTGTACATTGTCTGTCTATCCATTTATATCTATCTACACACACACACACATGCATGCACACACATTCTACAGATGTTAAGTAACATTCAAAGAGGCATAATTAAGAACATAGGATCAAAAGCACAA